TAAGGTCTTCAGATACGGCAGAGTTTGTCTGTGTGGCACGTAACGATGGCGGAGAAAGCATATTGGTGGTCCAGCTGGAGGTGTTAGAAATGCTTAGGAGACCAATGTTCAGAAATCCATTTAACGAGAAAGTAATAGCAAAGGCTGGGAAAACTGCCTTTTTGAACTGCTCTGTAGATGGAAACCCGCCTCCTGAGATAATCTGGATGTTACCCAATGGAACAAGGGTTTCCAGTGGTTTTAGAACACTCCATTACTTCTTGGGGGACAATGGCACCCTTGTCATCTACAGTCCTTCCAAAGCAGATGCGGGCAAGTACCGGTGTGCTGCTAAAAACAAAGTTGGCTACATTGAAAAGTTGATCATATTGGAAGTTGGCCAGAAACCCACCATCTTTATCCACCCAAGAGGAACAATAAAAAGCATAAGTGGGGAACCGTTATCCCTTCACTGCCTTGCTGGCGGAAGCCCCAAGCCAAGCATAATATGGACAACTCCCAATGGTGACGTCCTAGACCGGCCTCAGATTAATGGGAGATATATGTTACTGGAAAATGGCACCCTCATTATCAGAGAAACCACCATCCATGACAGAGGAAGTTATGCATGCAAAGCTCAGAACTACGCTGGTGATTCAACGGTAGTTGTTTTTGTAATTATTGTGGCACACCCGCCACGGATTACAAACAGACCGCCAAGGAATATCCGCACAGTGGCTGGGGTACCAGTTCAGCTTCACTGCATGGCACTGGGAATACCAAATCCAGAAATTACATGGGAGCTCCCTGACCACTCGTTACTTTCCACAGGCAGCAAAGGCCGGCCATCTGGAAGCGAACTTCTCCATCCACAAGGAACATTAGTAATTCAGAATCCAAAGCTGTCAGATGCTGGCATCTATAAGTGCATGGCTAAGAACCAGCTTGGCAGCGATTCCACAGTAACATACGTTCAAGTTATCTGAGACGAGAAATGCAGCCTGAACAATTGATAACAAAGGCTAATCAGGAGCCAAAGTTTGGCTTTCGAAGACGTTTAATCAAAAGCAGTCATGTCAGATGCGTTAAAATTGTGATTCTCAGTTTACAGTAGACACAGTAACAGACAGAAAGATTTGGAGAAAAATTGTATCATGTTCCGATATGAATATATTAGAGGTATTTTTAAAGCGACATTGAGAACTTAAGGCACTTACATCTTGACTACAGACAGTCAAATGCATCGCAATATTTAGTGCAAGGATGGGTTTGTTAAAAAGTTGTTTCTTACTTCCCATTTGGTAGTAGTACAAGAAGTATGAAATATAAGATACGTAAAGAAAAAAGAAGAAATGGGATGGCTGTTCGTTACCTTGTGGACAAATCTGAATATTTTGTATCTATCTTACAATTGTTGTTTTTTTAAAGCAAAAAGGTGCTGCCAGTTTTGTAATACTGAAATTTAGTTCTTTCACGCAGGAGTCCTTTTTTGTGGGGCAATGGAAGAACCAGTAGAAAATAGTTTGATAGGGTTGTGTGTGTTTTATTTTAAAGACAATATGGATTATTTTTGTAAAATAAAAAAGCAATCAGATCTGCATATAAAGAAGTGCAGATGTATAATTGCCATTCAACTGCTAAACATTTTACATAAAAAAGAATATAACGTGCCTTTAAGTTTAATAAGTATGCAATGCATGAGCAGAGACTGAGGAGGAAGCAGTAGGACAGTGTACGTTTCTTCTTGCTTGTTCTGGGCACCTGGAGGCACTTTGGCTGAAAAATTGATGCAAAGAAAGAACCTTTGGTCTACTCCAACAGAATACAGCTGTCTCCAAGAAATTGCGCCGGGTACCTTATTTATTTATTGTAAATATTTTTATATTGCCTGTCAATTAAGGTATATTCTTAGGGCAGCCACAAAAGACATCTGTTTATACGTGCCACATAGGATAGAACTTTGACTCTAGTGATATAAGGCTGTGCTCTGTCAGAGTAGGAGAACTCTGGATCCCAGACCGCAGGCTATGCCAATACCCTTCAGGCACAGAACTCCCACTGCATTATAGACTGCTGACCATACATGATTCTCTGCATCTAGCTTGTTGCAGAAGAGGTGAATATGCAGCTAACATGGCACAAATCTTGATCCACCAGCCTAAGCCCACAACTGTTGTGTGACGCTGTACCTCCAAGAGGGAAAGCAAGAATTAGCAACCCTTTTCTACATGCTTAAGATGCTAGCTACTTTATTGGGACCTGAATAAAATTCATACTTCTAAACTCTTTTAAGAAATGTGCATTTAACTGAAAATCTGAAAATGGCATATCTTTTCCTGGTATGTCTGAACTATAGGAAATTGTGGTTTATTCTTACTGGCTGGTTAAAAACACACACATAAGGATCAAAAAGTAGCAGCCCAGACCTAGATATAGTTTACCTGCCCCACTCCTGGATCTGAATGCATGTTTCACTTATCTTATCTTGCCTCTCTGCCAATGCCAAGAGATGATAGCAACTCCATCACACTGCCTCCTGCAAATATTACAACCACTATCATGCCAGTTGACTATGGGCAAAACTATAGCAGGAACAGCCTTTCTCCTGATGGAAATACAGTGGTACCTCGGGTTACATACGCTTCAGGTTACAGGCGCTTCAGGTTACAGACTCTGCTAACCCAGAAAAATAGTGCTTCAGGTTAAGAACTTTGCTTCAGGATGATAACAGAAATAGTGCTCCAGCAGCACGGCGGCAGCAGGAGGCCCCATTAGCTAAAGTGGTGCTTCAGGTTAAGAACAGTTTCAGGTTAAGAATGGACCTCCGGAATGAATTAAGTACTTAACCCGAGGTACCACTGTATGCTGTATTCCCAGATTTGGTCTTTGCTGGGTCGAGGACATCCAGAACTTGAGCAGATAACAGGAAAACCTTGATAGTATTTTCCTTTGTTCTGCAGTGGAGGATCTGTTTGGATGCAAAACTTTCACAATATCCAAGAGAAAGAGAGTTCCACAATTGTGAGCAGCACAATGTAATAATATTACCCAATCATGTGAAAACAGAATGTTCTGGTGTGATGTTTTTAAGGGTATAGAGCACTGGTAGGGAACCTATGGCCCTCCAGCTGTTGTTGAGCTCTTATCATCCCCAGCCACCATGGCCAGTGATCAGGATTGGCTAGAGATGTCGTCCAACAACAGCTGGGCGGCTACTGGTCTAGAGCAATCACAACCTGTCCTTAGCCTCTGCAGTCAAGTTCCAAATCTGTAAGAATGAAAGAGCTGCGTCAACCAAGGTTGAGAACCTGTGTCTCTCTAGATGTTGTTGGGCTCCAATCCCCATCAGCCCCAGCCAGCATGGCCAACGGCCAGGAAGCTATAGTCCAAAAACATTTGGAGAGCAGCATCCATAATTTTTATATTGCTCTGATGGAAGGTTCATCTTTTTCTTGATCCACGTAAAGAGAAAATTAGGCTTTGCTAGCCATGTGTGTACAGTAAGCCCGCAACTTATGTGCATTACTAAGTTGATAAAGACGGTTCCAGATGCTTTTGGATGTGGCTGTGTGGGAAACAGAATACTGATCTGACCCCAGGGCTGTCTTACCTATAGGCGCTAGGGGTGTAGGGCACCTGGGCTCTCACGGGCGCCAGGTCGAGAGTCCGGGGCCCAAGAGTTGAGTCTGGGGAAGAGCCCATCAGTCAGTCGGAGTGGGCTCTTCTGCTGTGGGCGGCTCTGCGCTGTGAGTTTGGGGGCGACTGAGCCAGCGATATGCTGAGGTGGGCAGCTGGCTCTACCCTCCTGCGCAACCGGGGGAGGGCGCCGGGCAGATCTTTGCACCCCGGCGCTGCATATGCTTAAGACAGCCCTGTCTGACCCATTAAGGTCATTCTTGCGTACTTATTTAAACTCCATTCTAAAATTCTTGTGCATGGACAGGGTTCATGGAGAGAAAATGTCCCCAAAGCGTGAGTAAAATAGTTTCGACAACCATTAATTCAGGTGTGCTCTTTAAACAATTTGATGTAATGTTTAACCAGGATGGTAAAATCCCAAGAAGATTATCAACAAAAGAACCCATCCAAACATTGGGGACTGTCAGAAAAATGATAGATGAGCTTCCGCATAACTAAAGGCCAAATGACATTGGGACAAAAAACCCTGAAGTTCACACAGGCTGAACAGGTGTAACAGAGCATGCAAGTGAGTGCTATTCTACCTCTGCCACAATATACACAGTGGCAGCAGAGGTCAACACACACCTGCAACTTTTTGACACACAAGATACTGTTAGTTTCTATTCTTATCCCTGAGCAGCTGCTGGGAGTCACAGCACTCTGTTTACATTCCAGAGACCTTCCAGTCTCACGGGAAAGGGAGACGGGATGTGACATTAGTGGTTTCCTTTGTTCCTTTGTTCGGTTGCTCTCTGCTCTCACAGGGAGGGGATGTATATTTCTTTGCTCTCTGCGTAGCTAGAAAATAAAGCATAGCAATGTAGCTCATACTATCTCATCCTTCCACGTGCTGTTTTGATGCTCTGCTGGGACGGCGTGCCTGAGGCCTTATCAAAGGATCAGGTCGTCAATTAATCGTCGGGAGGCGATTCCGAAGGTGAGCCTTATCAGCTGGGTTGAATGGAGATTCCGACAGATACATTAAAATATATTTCCAGCTCTTAATAACATAAGAAAACCTACAATATTAAGGGAACTATGCCTTCATATTTTGAGGAGTAACTCCCAATGTAATGAAATCTGGAACTAGCATAGCACAAGTCCACTCCTGAAACAGAGCTTCTTCCTCTCCTCCCCTTTCTGGCCCCTGGTGTCCTCAAAAATCTGTTCCAGAGGAATTGGGGATCCTCTGGAACAGACTTTGAGGACACATGGGGAGGCAGAACAGGAAGAGGGAAAAGAAGAATCAAAAGTCATATTGCATAGGCATATTTTCATTGCATAAGTAGGCAGGTACTGGATGCAAGTGGATCATTGTGCAGATGTTTTCACAACGAACACAACAGTTCAAAAATTATTTATTACACTAAAGATTCGGACATCCTGTGGGAAGGTAGAAATGTATCAGCTGGGTATAGCAATGCAGATTTCATTTGACATAATCTGACTAATTTGCTCAGTAGAGATTGTTTATTCACAGTAAGCCTTACGATCGGCTTATCACAAGGCAAATGAAAAGTTCATACAGAAAACATAGTCAAATAGTCTCAAGTATTTTTTTAAATGCCCTACATGAGTCACATTCAAAATTTGTGCATCTAATTCTAAAAGGTTATCACAGAATACTAAAAATTCACAAAACAGTAGTTTCTTTTGATTATTCTTTACTCGAATATGAGCAAATGCCACTTCCACAAGATTAAAATAGTTTCTGTTTTTATAGTAATAAATTTGATGATAATTTACTTGTGCTTTGGCAGCAAATTTATAAATAAATACAGCTGAATTTATTTACACAACTAAAAATAACCAAATTTTTGAACACCCACCGTACAAAATAATAAGTAACTATTTCTGTGACTAGAAAACTAAGGCCTAGTTCTCACAAACAGCAGATGAGGTGGTAAACCTTGGTCTGAAATGTACCACTTTAGACTGCAGCTAGGGTTTCATGACTGAATAAAGTCATACAAAAATAAAACTACCCATCTTCTAGACATGACAGTTTGTGTAAAGGAACATTTTTTCATGGGGAGTGTAGACCCAGTTGAGTGGATGAAGTGATTTTATTTAATATATATGGAAAAACCATAGGAAAGTAATAGTTCTACAGCATTTCAGAAAACAGCTATTTCCTTACATTTCAACTGTATTATGAAATCTTTTGGAAAACTGTTTAGAATACCTGGAAGGAGACTTAGAATACGATTAAACAACTTCCCTGAAATTATTCTGAAATACCCACACTGAGAAATAGAAAATGGTTATCTTAATTTCCGGTGCATGCTGTGGAAACCCATGTTAGCATATCTCCAGTGGAATTACAGGAAACAGAATGAAAACCTATGCATTTAATTATTCTAGTCTCAAACTGCAGTTATAGGCTGCAACCCTGAGCATGACTGAACATGTGATTATTTAGGTTTTGGGTACTCATTTTGATCATCTGCAGGTAGGAGATCTTACTACAGTATGGAGATTTGTACTGAAGTCTAGTAGGCTTATTATTGTCAAACTACTGGATTTTTAAATAGAAACTTGATGAATACAAGTAAGGATCCTCCTTCAGGAACTTTATTACCACAATAAAAGCAACAAAAAAATCAGGAACTTTGCAAACAAATTCTTTTATAAAGTGCTTATGAAATCTACAAACATGATCAAAACTAATTTAAAAAACCGAAATCAATACACATTTTACCGAAAACAAGGGGGGGGGACCACCTTGTGCATTAAATAAAAAAAAAATGGAAGTGCCTTTTTCGTAAGTAGTTTGGTCCAGTGCAGTTCTTAAGAAAAACAAAACTTGTTTTCCACAAAAAGAAAGGAAGGATTTTTAATCCTGTAGAGGGGAGGGAGCAAGGAGTGTTTATACCCTAGAAGCCCCAAATCCATATATTCTTCAGCAACAAATGTTCTTCATATAATCCCACATAATCCATACATTTATAATTAGTTAAGTGCAAAAACAAAACAAAAATCACCTATTTCTTATATATTCACATCAGTTGCAGCACAAAAAATTGGGGGGGGGGGGAGAGAGATATTTAGTGCAACAAATTCTGTTCCCCTATTCTTCAGTGCAAACACTTTGTCTTATTTTCACCTTCCAGATTCAGAAGTTTGAAGGATGGCCATATGGATTCACACCTTGCTGCGGCTGGTTACCTAGGAAACGGGGGTGGGGGGTGGGGAGAACGTGCCCAAATGTTAAAATCCTGTGCCAAGTTACTGAAGTCAATGAGATTTAATGTCAGGTTAATGTGCGGAGGAGCCCCACTGATTTCAGAAAGAATGTATTGGCAAGTACAGATAAATTGGTGGCAAATGCTACACAAACCAAACACATTACAACTCTGTGTTTTCGGTTATTTAATGGGGAATAGAGGTCACTGAAAAACTCTCAGCACCCTTAAACTACAATTCCCAGAAATCTTTGGGGGGGGGAGCCATGACTGTTTAAAGTGGTATCAAGGCATTTGAAACCAATGGCATGAAAGTGCCTTAGCTTCAACAGCCACCTAGAATCACAACTAGTGGTGAGGTTGATCCTACAAATGAACATTTCGGTGGACTGTATCTCCCATGAATGTGTGTCGATTGGTGTTCGGGATGTCTTATCGCTAACAAAAAATCTTCATCAAGTGTAAGGTCTGACCATCAAAGCCCTGTTGCAAAAAAATGGCACCTGAGGATGCTGTGTCAGAGAGTTGCTGCGACAGAATTTTGATAAACATAAAGCAGGGCAGTTGAACATGTAGCCCACGACACCGGCCATCACCCATGTGTTGTGGTTTGTCATGTGCTTGACAACCTCACCCTGATTTGATTTGATTTTTTGCAGTGCCAAACAGGTAGCAAAACCAAGGACTGCTACGTATGGCTGGTAATGGCTTGATCTGTAGAAGTTGTGTGATTTAGAACCAAAAAATCAGCACATTTCTTGGCTTGCAAGTGTCTGGTTTCACTGCCCTGGCTTCCCTCCTTATAAATACAGGCAACTCCCAGTTTAGGCACATCCAAATGATGCACAATTGCACATACACGCATGGCACCAAATTTGGAAGTAACCCCATGTTGTCATGAAAAGGGGGACAGCAGGAGCGGGGTAGAGGTGGAATGGGGCAAAGCTGGGCAGAATGGGCTTTTGTGTGCTCTGCTGACACATGTAGAGGTCCGGAACGGAAGCCCCTCCGCAAAACTAGGATTGCCTGTACCAATTCCTCTCCTTTGGGAACTGTAGCCCTGGAGAGGCACAAGTTACTCAGTTGCTTCTCTCACAAACACTTGCTGGTTAAACCAGTTTTAAAAGTTTGATCAACTATTTTGAGTATTCTGGGTATGAGCTATACAACTTAGATGTACATCCGTAGCAGATCATATCCAGTTCCCAGACCTACCCCTACTGATCAACAGCATCCATGCACGTGGCAATTTTCAGGTTATAGGCCTTATCACAAACTAAACTACTTTAAACCAGAACTGACTACATCGATATTTATTACTTGCGGAAAGTTAACTGGCAGAAAATGTACTTCCCAGCTGTAGAAACACAAAATACTTTATCCAGTGCTGCATACTTACTTGACAGCTGTTTTTGGAGCTGTCTGACGAGGGCAGCCGTCTGTTGTTGCTGTTGTGTCTGCTGCAAGCCTTGTCTTGGAAACTGCAATATTGAACACCAGGGGGGAAAAAATCAGCAACACACTAGCAGGTATACCTACAATGCCTGCAATGTATTCTTGCCAGCCTGAGAAGAAAGATGCCACTTAGGAGAGTAATGAGAAATAACCCTTTCATTCTAGTCTAGCTTGCACATTAAATCTGTGACTGAAACCAAACTTCTCTTCTTATCCCCTTGGAGGAATCCATGTGAAACAATCGGCTTGGCCTGGTAGACCAGGCTTCTAATCTCAGTTCAATTCAGGTTGATCAGTGCATTGGTGCAAGGATACTGGGCCACACCTGTTTTGGTGAAGATATTGCTGTGCAGAACAGCTTGGGTGTAAGAATCATGTGAGTGAAGAGGCAGCCCTCTTTTACTCTCAGGAAAATGCAATATAAAAACATACCCTCCAACATTTCTCCGATGAAAATAGGGATGTCCCATTCCATAATGATGGTTTTACTATTTATACCTCACACATCTTACTGGGTTGCCCCAGCCACTCTGGGCAGCTTCCAGTATATATAAAAACATAATAAAACATTAAACATTAATAAAACTTCCCTATACAGAATTGAGTTCAGACGGCTTAGGGGTCGGATAACTCCATATTTCTCCCATGAAAATAGGAACATCCTAAGGAAAAGTGGGACATTTGGGGATCAAATCAGAAACTGGGACAGCTTAACTAAATTGGGGGTGTCCCTGGAAAAGTCTCCCTTGGAGGGTCTGTAAAAAGAGGGCTCAAAACTCAGCCCCACCTTTACAACTATGTATCAGATTAAGGCATCAGCAAATCCAATGCTGTTCAGGTCTGTCATTGCTGGCTCCAGCCATGAACCTGAGAGGGAAGTGGTACAGTCTCTTGCCATCTCTGTCACACAACTGCAAAACTTCTCAGATTCTCAGCTGGAAGCAGAAAGTGGTGGTCTTAAGTAAGAAGCCAGGCAGGTAGGGGCTGGCTGAGGGCAAACTGAGGTTGATGGGGTAGTGCCTCATTTGCCCTAAGGACAAGCCTACACTGGATTTGGAGACACTGGATTTAGAGACAGGTAGTTGCAAAGCTGGGACGCGGGTGGCGCTGTGGGTTAAACCACAGAGCCTAGGACTTGCTGATCAGAAGATTGGCGGTTCGAATCCCTGCGACAGGGTGAGCTCCCGTTGCTCGGTCCCTCTGGTTCGCCAGAAGTGGCTTAGTCATGCTGGCCACATGACCCGGAAGCTGTACGCCGGCTCCCTTAGCCAGTAAAGCAAGATGAGCACCGCAACCCCAGAGTCAGTCACGACTGGACCTAATGGTCAGGGGTCCCTTTACCTTTTACCTTTACCTAGTTGCAAAGAATTCTCTTGGACACTGGATGAACCCTCCCCCCCATTAGTTTCTCCAAACAAGTCCAAGAACCTAGAAGGGGAGCCAGGGATGGGGAGAAATAGGACTGACAACTCAGGATGACTGGAGGAAAGAGAAAGATTATGCCAAGATGTTGCGATGCCATTGTGAATCAGAAAACCTTGAAAACCCATGTTTTCTCCAGAGTACTGGACTTGGGGAGCTGACTCCAGCCCAGTTTGTTCAGCATTGTACAGAGAATATGGTAAGTTAACAGTGATACACAGCGGGCTCCTTAAAAAGCACCACAGAGCTGTAAGGTAAAAAAACCCTGCAGCTAGACTGGCTTTAACCAGCTGGGGTGAACTGCCCTTCTCATCAACAGATGGTCATGATTCCTGACAAGGGATCATCTCTTAAACCATTTAAAGAATGCTTATCGGCCTCCATAGAGGGACGCGGGTGGCACTGTGGGTAAAAGCCTCAGCGCCTAGGGCTTGCCGATCGAAAGGTCGGTGGTTCGAATCCCCGCGGCGGGGTGCGCTCCCGTTGTTCGGTCCCAGCGCCTGCCAACCTAGCAGTTCGAAAGCACCCCTGGGTGCAAGTAGATAAATAGGGACCGCTTACTGGCAGGAAGGTAAATGGCGTTTCTGTGTGCTGCACTGGCTCGCCAGATGCAGCTTCGTCACGCTGGCCATGTGACCCGGAAGTGTCTCCGGACAGCGCCTCTTGAGTGAGATGGGCGCACAACCCCAGAGTCTGTCAAGACTGGCCCATACGGGCAGGGGTACCTTTACCTTTACCTTTATCGGCCTCCATATACTCCAAGGGTGAACAATAAATGTACATACAACAAAATTCTTCTCCCCTCCTAGTAAGAATTCACAGATCCACAGATTTCTATGGACAAACCTTCAGGTCCTTCAAGCATTATATCCTGTAAAGTATGATGGTGGTTGTGATAAAACTTCACACATGCAATACTGACAACATTATAACATTTGATGCTCTGTGCCTTAGATGTTTAGCCAGCAATCTGAATGACCCTGCCATGAAACCGCACATGTATTTTGGAGTGCTGGAATAAGGGATCACTTGGTACTCTTTTCTATTTTGTTTTCTAAGAAAGAAAATTAGAAAGTTCAAGCTTTAGCATCTTTTTCCTATGTTCATTCAGAAGATAATGGGTCCCTCTGGAATTGTTCTTTCAAGTTGTTGGAGGGTTCAGCAACTGGAGCTGTGTTCCCAGTATTTTGTTGGAAGTTTAGAAGCCTACATTCTCATCTAGCTAATAATATTTTCCATACATCCAAATAATAAATTATACATTCATATTCCTTCAGTTATACAGAGGAAATGTTCAGCTGCTGGAGGCATGTGTACATATTATGAAGCCGATAATGAAAATAAAACCCACTCTATATCAGGTATCATGTATGCAAATGAACTTTAAAGGGGAAATGCAAGCTGAGTTTGAAAAGAAAACAGATATTTCAGTAAAAATAAAACTAATATAAGACAGTGCAAAGGGTTCTCAGATGGAAAGGTTGGCTAGTATACATACATCTCTCTTTCATTAGAGCATGTTTGATCCTTTTGCATGTCAAACTCTACCATGCAACCCAACTGTGTATGAAATGTGTGCATGCATGAGAGTCAGCAGCCTTTATGATTAATGTTATGCATACTGATGAAGCTCTCAAGCATTCTTCACTCAGTCTCACCGAGCCATGGATGTTGTAGTGTTGTTGAGCAAAGCAGGCTAACCCGATTCTGAAGGGCCAGAAAATCCCTTCCATAGAAATCTGTGCCCTTTGCACTCAGAATATGAATTTCATGAAATTCTGATTGAAGGAACCATTTCTATAAAATGTACTTGCTGTCCTATACCTCCTTACTTAACACAACATAGATGTGGATAAGAACACAGTTCTGTTATGTCCAACTGTCAGGGAAACACCCCCAATCCCAGTTACATTATTTCTGGGATATGTAATTCTTGCTGCATTATACCTTTCCTGAAACCCCAAAGTAAAACCTGAAAGTGCATATTTTGGCTATACAATTGGTGAAGATTTATTAAAATAACAGTTTAACAATAAAAGTTTGACCGAGACATAAATTAGATTTGATGCTTGTTCGTTGCAAGTAACCTGCCAAATGCTTTAAAAAGTGTTCGGCTGCCCTGACAAATAAATGGAAACTCTGTCTAATGCCTGTTTACCATATGTTATCCCCGTAAGTCTAATATACAGATTTGCTTTATCATTCTTGAGAATTACAGTTTTCTCTGGACATCTTCAGAATTGCATTTTTCGTTATTGGGTGCAGATCAGTAGGGAGGCCGGCACGACAACTTAATGGAAAAAAAGTATTTTTACTATTTTACAGCGGGCCAAAAATAAATAAAAAGTGCAAAGAACATTTGTATCTTAAAACTACAACATGTGCCTAATGTGCTCTTTTGGTTTGATTTACTGCCTATGTTTAGGCAGTTGCCATAGATGTGTTAAGTTTTCAGGATGAATAAATTCACGTCCTGAAATTTAAAGTCAGATATTTCAAGGGCTTTGAACTGCCTCCACAAACTCTTTCCAGAGGCTTTTCAAGCAAATGAGTAGGGAGAGGGGGCTCTGTTTTAATGCTTGAACTAATGCTATAAATAAGGGGTTGCCAAAGGGGCCCTCTAGTTATTCTTGGACTACATTGCCCATCATGCCTGAACACTGGCCATGTTGGATGATACCAGCTGGAATCAAATCCTATATGTAGGATTAACAACAAAATATCCAACCCCATGTGCCATTTTTCTGCCCAGTTTTTGGGTGCAGCACTTCCTTGTCTCTGGCAACATGTTAAGTGGCTACTCTACCTGAGGGAACTCAGCTCCACTTGGTGGAACTCATATGAGACATTTCATCCCTGTGTCCCAGGTTTTCTTGTGATGCCATACTTGTTAGAATTCCTGCTCTATGATTGCAGTCATAGGATTGTTGTCTTTCACATGACGGTGTATGTTTTGACTCCACAGAGTGGGAAGTGACGGAGACAGGATGTTTGTGTTACTGTGTTCCGTGAAGTGGGACTATTGTCCTTTGTTCTTTCTCTCTTTGCTGTCTGATGCTAGAGAGAGGGGGAGCCATGTTGCAGTGATCCATGTGTGTTTATATGTAAATAAAGTAGATTAGCCAAAATGCTGAGTTGCTGAGTTCTGTCACACGCAAGTTGTGCAAACTCTGTGGATCCCTAAGTGTGCCGGTGTCGGTTGGCATCAGTCGCTGTGATGTTCGGGCTGAAGAAAGCTTATGAAGCACCCGAATGATCGACCAGGAGGGAGAGAACATGCCAGTCGGGCAAGTGTCTCTGCCAGGGTCCTACTCGAGTGTAGGCCTAACTCCTGACAGTACTGACATTGTCCGGTATCTGCATGCCCCTTTTCCCACCACAGATATGCCAGAGTGAACAAGGGGTCCTTTTCACAGTATAAGCTCCTACAAACAATAGACACATTATTTTACACAAGTAAAACTAAACATAAGGAATTAAGGATTATGGAACAGAACCCCCAAACCTTTCAATGTCAGCCAGAACCGTTCCCATAGGCAATTAGGGCAGGGAAACCCCAGCATTGCTTAAACTCCAATTTTATATTCAGCAAAAAGTTACCTTCTACACTAATCTATGTAAAGACTGCAGCTCAGCTTTGAATAAAAAATAAAAATGGAAGAGTCCAGAAGTGGGTTGGGTTGTTTAACAAACCTATGTGAGCTAGGTGGGATATTAGAACAGGACAGCCAAGACCTACTCCCAGGAGAGAAGAGAAGGCAGCAAATGGTATCCTAAAGGGCTTCTGGTAGGTCAACGAATACCAAAAAAACCTTTAGATCAGATAGGTCACTCTGCAATTTTGCTTATTTGCCTTACCTCGGCTATCATTACATTTAACCGACTGCAATTGATAAGGTCATTTTGGCATCGGAAATACTTTAACCATGTAAAAAATAATAATAATCTAATGGTTAATAACTTGTTCCAAAATTATACATTAAAATATGTACACTTCTGTTCGGAAAGCAGGACTTAGAGGAGCAGATGAAATGGTTACAGATGCCCAAACCTACATTGGATTAGTGCTTTATAGCTTTGTAAAACAGACTGACAGAACAATCAAAACAAAGCTATCAAATAGACAACAGAAAAACACCTACAAAGAAAGATGCCAATGAGAACGTAATTTATCCTTTCAATACAGACAAATGATGCAGTCTCTGAAATAGCGCGGTGACCGTGGGCACGGAGGCAGAGAAAGGTGGGGCCTCTAGTCTTAAATTCAGCAAAGGGTCTTCTCTATTATAGTCATACCTCGAGTTGCGTTTACTTCACGCTGCATTTTTCTGGTTACGAACGCGGCAAACCCGGAAGTTTTTACTTCCGTGTTTGCCGCTTTGCACATGTGCAGGAGCGATCTGCGTGCATTGTGCATGCACAGGAGCACCCTATTGCGTCACACACAGAAGCGACGCTCTACTTACGGACTTTTCGGGGTGTGAACGGCACCCCGGAACGGATCGTGTCCATAAGTAGAGGTACCACTGTATTTAATTTAGCTCTGTTTGCACAAGCTTGGTTCTTGTTTCCCAACCGGTGATGCAATTCTATGTGCTTGAAAGAATATATTATCCTCAGGAGGAAACTAAACCAATATAACAACTAATTGAAAAGTTCCAGTTGAGCCTCCTTTACTTCTGCTGTAGGTTTAGGAGCACAAGGCTGCAAAACTTTGAAGGTTCGAGGACTCTTGCCTCGTAGAGGGATTTCATTCTATGCAGTATTTATCACATAGGATTATCCGAAGTTAGTTTAAATAATACTTTAAACTGGCCTAGTGATGGAAACGTGCAAGCAATTAGTGCTGGCAGTCATTTAGTGAGTCTGGACAAGGCAAAGAGCAAAATAATGCTGTGACAGCTGGCATTCACACTAGTAGGATGAGGGTGATAGATGTTGTGTGTGCCTGAGCAGGACGAACCTTCCTTTGTGCTCTGGAAGCACATGTGGTATCTCATAACTCAATGTGAAATTTAGAAGCTCTCCGCTACTGATGAAATGGCACGGAAAATCTGTCACCCTGAATATATATTCAGTAGATGGAAGATGCGAAAATTCAGAATTCAGAGGAGATTTGGGAGAGGACCTCTGACCACTGGGCCACTACAACCCCTCGGTTACCTGAGCATGTGCAATAATTGCTAGCATGCCCCACCACCTATAGGAATCCAGCAAGCTACCGTGCAAAGCCTCCAAAAAGCATGAGCAAACTTTAGTCAATTGAAAGGGGATGGCAGTTTCCCAATAAACCACTTATACTCTATTGGATATACTGCTTTTTGTAAAAAAATAAAATAAAAATAGCTAGGGCCCAGAATACTCCCTATTCCTCAACCTCTAGGATTTTCACCTCCAGTTAGACCAGAGAAAGCTGCTGATACTGTTCTCCACTTCTTCCTTCCAGTTGCCTGTATTCCTGTTTTTTCTAATTACCTGTTGCTGGATTTGAGAACTTGCTAATGAGCCATGTCAGTAATTTCCCAGACACTTGTTTTGAAGGTTTCCTTCTCTCCCCACCCTGAGTTTGTCCTGGGATAGATCAGTGAGTGTTCCAGAGTGTCTAATTTATTCTAGCCAGCTCCTCCTCATACTTTGTGAACGTTCAAGTTTGCATTATATGACAGTGCTTGGAATTTATTATGCTCTTTTTTAATGCACTGAATTCAGGGCTGTGGCAGTTATTTCGCTCTCCAGTCTAAACTGCTAGTCTTTATGAGCTGTGGTTGCAAAATTTAACCAGAGATTTACTTTTCTGTTGCTCCTCAGCGTTCACAACTGTTTACAGATGTGTACATACAGTAAAAATCATTGAAAATTCTTACAGATGACGTGTACATGAGATAGCTTGGGACTAGTTTACTTGAGGAATTGCCTTGTGCCCTTTGTGGCAACCTGACCACTTCCATCTACAGAACTGCTGCTAAATGTGGGCAAGGGCTTGAGTTTTCAGTATGGCAGCACTGGAACTCCCTATTTATTAACTTTAGGCAGGAGCCCTCACTGCTTTAGATGCCTGTTTCAGCAAGCCAATCTGGACATGTAAGCAAGGTATGCATATCTGTTGTCTTTTTTAAAAAAAATGTAGAGCGATACTCATTTTAAATTGCTCTGTGTACATTGCTTAGAGATTCTTTGATTAAGTGGTTTATAGTTTCTTCTAAATAAAAATAAGTAAATTCTCCTGTTCACCAGCTTCATTTTCCTTCTTCAGCATGTTCTACTTCAATCCACAGAATCACTACAATTCAGTTTCGTGTAAGTTATTTTTTGTCGCAATACTAACTAGCTGTTTTCCATTACACTTGGGACTGTACACAGTCACTATGCAGCACAATGTTAATAATAACGTACTCATAAAACTGTTTTGATAGTCTTGAAGGACTGGAAGTTACCAAATACATCATATGCAATTAGACTGTTAGGTAATCCCTGTGTTATGCTAACGTTGGGAAATGTCCTTGATTATACTGAGGCAGTCCTTGCATATTTAAAAATTTGCAACGTATCTTTTACTGAAGTGCCTATATCGACCGGTACTAATTAAGAAGAGAAACATGTTCAACAGATTGCAAATCTAATTTCTTTGTACTATCACAGGTAATCTGATTTTAAACAGCCTAGTTAAGCCAGGTAAAAGCTGTAGCAGAGTTCACAGCTATACTATCCACCAGAGGGAGTCTTTATGCAAGTATTACACAAAACAGGCTATAGTATTAGAAAGCCTTTGCTTTGTACTGTAAGGCAGAGGTTTTCAACATTTTGAGTCCATGGCTCTCTTGACCAACTACATTCTTTCTGCGGCACCCCTGTGGGGCTCAGGAGCCCAGTTATGTCACCTCTTGCCTGCAGAGCTGGCAGCCTCTCAACCTTTTTCAAACACCCTCCTTTGTGGAGGGTTCCCTCAGCCTCCTCTTCTCTCCCCTCTTCTTGGGAGTCCTCCAGGCAGCTCCTGCTGCTGTCCCTGGTCTCTGAGCTGAACACACACACACACACCCCACACACACACAGAGGTGCCTCCAGAGGCACCATTCGCCTAGGGAGCTTGTAGCCAGAGCTGCTGCAACAAACAGCTGTGCAAGCCTTTGGGATGCAGACTTGAGAGGGCATCAGAGGAGGGAGGGAAGGAAAGAGGGACAGAGGCCAGTGTTGCCCACGGCACCCCTGACCATCAATCAAGGCACCCAGGGTGCCAAGGTACACTGGTTGAAAACCACAGCTGTAAGGAAATGTTGAAGAATCATGCACCCGAAAGCTAGGTGCATACTATTGAAAACAGTTGTCTTGCTACTTATACCAATGCTATATTAATAAATATAAATTCCACTAGTTGATTCACTCTGCCTTCCTACAAACCAGAGATGGAAATTCAAGGTCATCATACCTGATCATTTTCGATACTTATGGAGAACGACTTCCCTTATCAACCCTGCACTTGCTCTCCAAGAACCCAGAAATAGATGGTAGGGATAAGGAAAGCTACTTAGCTACATCACCCTGTTTTCCCATGTTGTTCAACAGTACAGAGCTCCCAGAACAAAGCCTATTATTAACATGTCCACTTACCAAAGGTTGCTGAGGGTGCATTGCTTGGAGACTAAGCACCTGCTGCTGTCCCTGCTGCTGCTGCTGCTGCTGCTGCTGCTGCTGCAACTGCAAAAATATGGCCAATGTGACTATAACACTACCTATGATGCTGTCATAGAAAGACAATAACAAAGTTGCCTCTAAGAACAAAGGGATGTTGCTTTCAATAAGCTGTATTCATGAACTATGAGAAGATGTTTTAAGGTTCCCTTCACCAACCGCATGTTATACTTTGAATGTCTAAAACCTAGTGCAGCTAGACAAACTTTCAAAACCATTTTCTCCCAGCAGATAAATATTTAATGCTTACTTAACTACAGCCCTTGCCCTGTTATTTTAATTCAACTATATACATGTTTTCACAACACTCACTTTTATAGAAAATTGCTGAAGCCCTTTGGAAAAGGTCAGCTACACATCTAGCAACAATTTAAACAAAATCCTTTTTTGGGAATAGGGGTGAGACTTGAGCTTACTTATTATTTTGACCCTTCTTTTCTATCTAAGGGAACACAAGGAGGCTTTTAAAATTAAGAGCAATAAAACATAAATTTGAGAGAAGAAGATGGACCCTAAGAAAGCAATGCAGACACACAAATATGAATAAGTGTGTAGCTAAATACAGTCGTACCATGGAAGTCGAACGGAATCCGTTCCGGAAGTCTGTTCAACTTCTAAAAACATTCGGAAACCAAAGTGTGGCTTCTGATTGGCTGCAGGAAGCTCTTGCAGCCAATCAGAAGCCATGGAACCCCCATCGGATGTTCAGCTTCCAAAAATAGTTTGCAAACTGGAACTGTCACTTCCGAGTTTGTGGCGTTCAGGAGCCAAAACGTTTGGGAACTAAGCTGTTCAAAAACCAAGGTACGACTGTAGTCTAGTGCATGGGCTTTGTATGCATAAGGTGTCGGATCCAGTCCTTGGCATCTCTACCTAAATAATTTCAGGAAGAACAACTAAGGAAGGCTTCTGTCTGAGAGTTTTGGAGGGCCGCTAGCATTCAGACTACACAATTTGGGGCTGGATAGGACTAACACCATGGTTACATTCACACGTCACAGTGAACCATGGCTTATGGATTACCAGGAATGAGCAGAGCACTCCCATTTGGCTCCTTCCTTACTTGTGAGCAGGACCAACAAACCTCGGCTTAGTGTTTTGTCTGAACTGGGAATCACAGTTTCCTTCACTTAAGCTACAGGAAGTCAAGAACAAAATGTGGCTTCAGGCGGCAGTTTGTCTTGAGTGAAACAAAGGCGTAACACCAAGGAAAGTGATTTGTGTGTTCACAATAAGCTGTTAACTAGGGCAGACTATGATGTGTGGATACATCCAGTACCCTAGTGCTTAAAATTTCATGGAATAGTGCCCCCCGCATAAACACACAGTGACACAAAGGCGACAATTTTCAAACCTGAAGGAGTCTCTGTTGTCGAATTTGTTGTTGTCTCTGTCTCATCTGTTCCTGAGGCATCTGAACTGAGTTAAGGTTTGGGTGGGAAGCTGTGGCTGGCATGGCATCGAGTGGCCCTCCAAGCAAGGGATTCTGCTGCAAAGGCTGGTGACTCAATCTGAGCAAAAAAGAATTGACCGCACATCATTTACAGTTGTGAAAATAAAATGAGAGCCTGCCAGTTTTAATTTTCTAGACCTCCACGTTAAATTGAAACTCCAGCAGGGTATCAGCAGCCAAATGAAATATGACTGAAGGTTGCTGAAAGTAATAAAGATAGATAAAATGGAGAAAAATGCAAAATAAAGCTTCTCATCTAAGCCAAAATATGTAAGCATCTTATTAACATTTTGATTTTTATATTCTTATCTACTGCAATCTTTACTGATTTTTTTAAATAGTTTTAATTATTGAAAAACTATACACTAGAAACAGCCGCAATGTGAACTTTCAGAAATGGAATGAAATCCAAATAATGTTGTCTTTTATCTAAACTAAAAAGTCAGAAAACCTGCAGCCTTTCTTCATAGGGGAGCATTTTGGTTGCCCTTTTCTGAACCTCTTCCAGCTCTACAATATCCCTTTTTTAGGTAAGGATTAGGACTCAGTTTAACCTGCTGACACTCACTAAACTGGGAGGGGTACCTAACGCAGCACAAGACGGAATCATGATTCAATAGGGCCTTAACATATAGGAGAACTGGACCAAAACTAAAAACATGGATTCCAATAGGGACAAATGTAAGGTTCTATATGCAGGCAGGAAGAACCAGCTGCACAAACATAAGTTGGGATACACCTGGCTTGCCCGTAGAGCAGGTGAAAAGGATCTGTGGGTCTCAGCAGACCAGAAGTTTAACATGAGTCAACAGTGTGATGCAGCGGCAAAAAAAGTGAATGCTATTCTAGGATGCATCAACAGAAGTATAGTGTCCAGAATGAGGGAAGTCACAGTACTGCTTCATTCTGCATTAGTCAGACCACACCTGGAATACCATGTCCAGTTCTGGGCACCACAATTTAAGAAGGATGCTGACAGGTTGGAACGCATGCAGAGGAGGGCAACAAGGATTATCATGGGTCTGGAAACCAAGCCTTATGAGGAACAGTTGAAGGAGTTGGGTATATTTAACCTGGATAAGAGGAGACTGAAAGGAGAGCCAAACATCTAAAGGGCTCTCACATGGAAGTCAGAGCAAGCTTCTTTTGTCCCGCTCCAGATGGTAGGACCGGAATCAATGGCTTCAAGTTACAGGAAAAGAGATTCAAGCTAAACATCAGGAAGATCTTTCTGACATTAAGGTTTGACTGTGGAACAGACTCCCTCAGAAGGTGGTGGACTCTCCTTTATTGTAGGTTTTTAAATAGAGGTGGGGTGACCATTTGTCATGGATGCTTTAATTGAGATTCCTGCATAGCTAGGGGTTGGGACTAGACCTCAGGGTCCCTTCCAACTCTACAATTCTATGATTCTATATAGCAGGGGGATTACACAGAATCAAGAGACTGCATGAGACTTCATCAGTCTGCAATGACAAGGGTGTGCTAGATTAAAAACTGATGCTTTTAATCTCTGGATTATATTGCTGTGTGAAGAACTGCTGCATCTCCACCAAGACGTTGCAAAATGCTTTGATCATATACCTCTGTGGAAATGCAATCAGGGTTGAGCAAATGCAGAGATACAAAATAGGCACATTAGGGATTTACTTTCAATTTAAATGCTATTATACTTAAATGCAATTATAAGCTTTGCAGGATAGAATTTGCGAATGAAGATCTTTTCAAGATTGCGTGTACATTTTGCAACTGCCTGGATAAATTAATATTTATTGAATATGTGTAGAAGCAATTAAAGAATGGAACGCTAAGTCAAGGATGTGCAATGTTTGCTTTAAAAAGGTAAAGGTAAAGGACCCCTGACAGTTAAGTCCAGTCATGAACGACTCTGGGGTTGTGGCGCTCATCTCGCTTTATTGGCCGAGGGAGCCAGCGTACAGCTTCCGGGTCATGTGGCCAGCATGACTAAGCCGCTTCTGGCAAACCAGAGCAGTGCCCGAAAACACTGTTTACCTTCCCGCCGGAGTGGTACCTATTTATCTACTTGCACTTTGACATGCTTTCAAACTGCTAGGTTGGCAGGAGCTGGGACTGAACAACAGGAGCTCACCCCATCACAGGGATTCAAACCGCCAACCTTCTGATCGGCAAGCTCTAGGCTCAGTGGTTTAGAAGGCAATGGTTTGATTTGATAAAATAGGGTTATTGGGTTTATATTTTTTTTTGCTTGTTTTTTTAAAAAGGAATGCCAAGTTGAAAATGGCAATGACATTGCAAGATCTTACTGCTGTCTATCAATCAGAAGGTTAAAGTAATTTTGAAGAAATCACAGAAAAATAACCGGACAAAACTGTTATTTGCTGCAACTGAGATACAGCAGATTATGATTAACTGTTAACAATACAGACCATCTTTTCTATAACATGCCGTCATCCCAAATCATGTAGGAGATACATATACACTCAAGCTCTGGTTGCAGTCTTCCCATCAGTAGCGGCCAGTGACACACCATGACTGTCCCAGCTTCCCAACACAGTGGGCCACTGCCGTTCACTGAGAGGTAGAGGAGAGGGGCAAGGCAAAGGAGCTGGGCCCAGTGCAGCACACCACAGCAAGAGTGGCAGTTTTGGCTTCACTACCATGTACCACACAGAGTCAAGCTCTCTGCACCTCGTGTCTCCCCTCATCCTCTGAGTCAGCCCAGCAATCTGCTGTGCTGGGCAGCCAGGAGAGTAATGTACCCCACCTGTGCCACCTCACCAGCCACTACTGCTCCTCCTACTGCTGAATTCTTCATGGTAAGAGAGTATATTAGTGTTTTGAAAAAGGACTCCATGAATGCTTTGATAGAAGTCCAGGTATAGGTGAAAATCTGAAAGCGTTTGCAAGCTTTATGTATGTAGACTGAGGTCTAGTATTCAGCCACAATGGGAGTCTTGAACTGCGGCAATTAAAATGGCTAATCAACACTGAAATCCATAGAATTTTTCAGTTCTTGAGTAATATCAACATGCAATTATATCACTTATCCATCTTAAGATTAATAATCAGAGGAGGAAAAGTCAACCATTATCCCACGATTTCCATCCTTGCAAGAATGCAGGGAATTATGTCATCATCGCTCACTAGTAATCCATTGGCTTAGTCTTGGCATTTTATACTTTCCTAAGAAACAAGACTACTTTCTTCTTCAACAACAACAAAATGAAACATCTGTAGCATAAAGAAAGCCAAAAGTGTCCCCACAGCTGGCCCCATAGCCTCAGGGATGCTTTCAAGGAAGCACTGGAAGTTTGCACAAAGACTTTTAATAGCTATTACGGTTTTGGAAAAATGCTCTGTCGAGCCCTGCATTTTGAAACATTTTATTACAAAGGTCACTAATATGTATTCTAACTCTCTTTATAGGAACCAAAGGGTAATTCTAAGGGATAATTCATTTAACCAATTTCATTAGCTGAAGTTATGACATATAAAAAGAACAACCAATCATCTCCAACATACCCACAAATGTGTTAGAAATTACACCACAGAAGGTTTTAGTAAATTTATTCAAATCTACCCAAGTAGTAGTAATTGTAGTAGTAGTAATAATTATTATTATTATTTATTTATACCCCATCCATCTGGCTGTGTTTCCCTAGCCACTCTGGGCAGCTCCCAACAGGATATATAAAAAAGCGACACAACATCAAACATTAAAAGCTTCCCTAAACAGGGCTGCCTTCAGATGTCTTCTAAAAGTCAGATAGTTGTTTATTTCCTTGACATCTGATGGTGTTCCAGAGGGCTGGCGCCACTACCGAGAAGGCCGTCTGACTGGTTCCCTGTAGCTTCACTTCTCACAGTACAAATCTGAGGCCCAAGCTTTAAGGGTTTGTAGGATTTTCAGTGGGTGAGAATTTTCAAAGGCATTCATCAGAGGCCTAATCCCACGCAGCATGAGAATGAAAAAGTAAAGGAGCTACACAACATGTTGCAAATAGTAAAGATGGGCAAGAGGCAAGACATAGCAAGATCTACTGAAATCTCAGCTAGGGCTCTCTATTATTTGGAACCAATCAGGCTCTGGGTGATTTGTCACCCAGCATCAGAGGTTAGGCAAAATCCACAGGTTGTCGGCCCTTACAGACTGGTCAACTGCATATACCTTCTTCTAGCATTTCTCAGACCTATTTTCAAAACTCTCTTTCCAAAGGTTATATACATCAAGCTATCAAAGGTCCTGATAAACATCTTACCGCTGGTTGCCTGTTAGTGGCTGAGGATAGGCAGCTGCTTGCTGATGAATGTACCCACTCGGCTGTTGTTGTGTCTGCCGTAGCCTTTCCATCAGAGCAGGGTTCAAATGAGCTGCTTGATAGGCCCTGGAGTTGTAGGTAGGCGAAAGGACGATGCCTCCGGCCTGCTGTGATTGCAATGGCATCTGAGTGCTATACATTGTGTAGCCATGAGGAATAGTCTGCACCAAAAAACAGGCCAAGGCACAAGTTGCTTTGATTTTGATGCTTCTAAAGGAAGCTTGCCATTATTATGATTGTTTATTTATTTTTAAAAACAAACAAGCAAGCAGCACACCAGGATGACAAGGAATGTATACTGTGCTGTTACTTGAAATAGCAACCAGACACTTGAAAAAAATCCCCATAGTTTAATTATGCTTATTTTCAATTTGCTAAGCTCAAATGGCAGCCATACATGCTTGCAGGTTTCGTATTATTCTACCTTTTCAGCACAGCAAAGGCTGGGCAATATACGATAAATGAAACCTCCAAACTGCTGCTTTTATGCAGGGTGGTTTCCACACAGAGGATGGACTGTCATGATTGTGGCAGCACCAGTCCAGCTGCTTCACTTCTGCATAAATCACAACTTTTGTGTAAAAGCATAAATTCATGCAAATAATGTCTCCTGGCCACAAGGACATGGAGGTAAGGACACGAGTTTCCAATCTTCTTGCATGCAAAATGCCATCAGTGCTAGCCCATATTTACTAAACTTTACTAAACAGTGTTTGTTGTACTCAGAGTAGACCGCTCATAAACCCTGCAGGGTCGTATGCAACCAAGTTCTACTCAAGAGTTGACCCACACTGAAATTAGTAGACCTAGTTTAGTCATGCCCATAAATTTCAGTGGGTCTACTCTGAGTACAATGAACACTGAACATGACTGGATCTCAATGTAAGGCATAGGCAAGGCCTTAGCACATCCTTTCCCTACACAGACCAATTATTATGTACCTGTGTCTGCTGTATCCCTGGATATTGCGGAAGCTGAGAAGCTGGCCGGATTTGTTGAGCAAAAAGAGCAGCCTGGTCGATAGCCGGACCCTGCAAAAAAATAAAAAATAAAAATTAAAAATATATATTACTTATTGTAAATTTAAAGATTACATGTTTAGGGACACCAGTGCAGGCATTCAAGGCATTTTAAAATACAACCTAAGAACAGAAGTTGGTATGTTTCCAATATTTTTCTTTCTGAAGGCAAGTGATGCCGAGTTATGCATTATGTACATAGCTGAATTTCCTAACTGCATTTTTTTTTAAAAAAAAGGAATTGGATGTCCCTTTGACCTTTTCTTCTTTCAACCCAGTTACTGAGGTGCTTTCATGCTTTCCTCCTGGAACATTTCCCTGGAGCGTTTAATCTCGGCAAAACAGCTCTTCAGCGCACCAATGCAGAGCTGAAGGTGGTTTGTTTACAGACACTGGCCTGCTTGAATGACATTGGGCAAGGCTGGGGGTGGGGTGGGTCCCAACAGACTTGTGCAGTGGAGAAGAAGCCTGCGAGTCCTAGCCCTGCTGACTCTTCCAAACATCTTCCACCAGGGAGCAGGAAGAAGCAGGGAGTCTTCAGAGGACGAGAGCAGTCCCTACAGAGCTCTGAAGGAATGACTCAAGTGAGATGCAACACAAAAACACACATCAGCAGCGCGTAGAGAACTGGCTGAGGAAACACGCTGCTGAGCCTTCGGTCGTTTTTATTTGATTTGATCCTGGGGATTTGAAGCTGAGGCGGTGATTTTAGGAAAGTGTGTGAGAGAAAAGACAAAAGATACTGAGAGGACAAGTCAAAAAGATCCCAAGAACAAATGAGAGCCATATTAAGGAAGTCTCACTCCACCTTGAAATCCTGAGTAACAAACCCTAAATACAGTTACAGATAGGTAGCCGTGTTGGTCTGCCATAGTCAAAACAAAACAAAATTTCCTTCCAGTAGCACCTTAAAGACCAACTAAGTTAGTTCTTGGTATGAGCTTTCGTGTGCATGCACACTTCTTCAGATACACAGAAACCCTAAATAGTTTAGATGAAGAGGAATATCTGGCAAGAAAAACTGCCACCAGTGGAATTGAAAACACACAAGAGTCAGGGAGAACAGAGGAGCAGTGCCACCTAGTGGCAGGAGGGGAAATAACTTCATGTGGGTTTGGATTTTTATGTTGACATCTTCCCCTCTATGGATTTGTGGGCCATGTACCATTAGTTGCAAAAGTTTGGCTTCTTTGCCATGGTATTTTTTTTTTTAATTACATCAACTTACTAACTTGGAGCCAGAAGATTTGATGTTAAGATCGCCCAGTGCAGGACATGAACCCCTGGACACGAGTAGAACTGCTAGGAGCCATGATGAGCCTCTGGAGCTACAAAACTGATTCCATGCCCTCACCCTGGACACTGATTCTGAGCCAGAGGAGCAACTACAGCGGTTGCAGACCTCAGAACTCTCCGAGGTGGCGGTGGAAGGCACAGTGTACAGAACGATTCCTGCCACTCTCCAGAGAGGGTAGAGACATGTGGTTGTGGAAAGTGACTTCCTACAGGGAGGAAGTGATCAATAAAGTGAGCATATAGGGAGCTTTGGGCGGAAGTGGTCATGGCCTCTTGCTTTCATTATACCCAGGCAAGGGAAAGCTGAGTATACTGGCCATGCACTCTAGACTTGAAGTAGGTTGATTTCGAAAAAGCTTAAGGAACTACAGTGGTACCTCGCAAGACAAAAAACTCGCTAGACAAAAGGGTTTTTGGTTTTTGAGTTGCTTCGCAAGACGAATTTCCCTATGGGCTTGCTCCGCAAGACGAAAAACGTCTTGCAAGTTTGTTTCCTTTTTCTTAAAACCGTTAATACCCAGGGTGCATTGCTTGAAGAGGTGCAGTTGCGACTTGACTTCGAGGAGCAACTCATAGCACGCGGTGTGGTAGCCTGCTGGAGAATGTTGGGGCCACTTCTTAAAATTACTGCAGACTTAATACAGTGGTGCTTCGCAAGACGAAAAATTCGCAAGACGAAAAGCTCGCAGAACGAATTAATTTCGTCTTGCGAGGCACCACTGTACTGGGTGAAGGAAGACCCATAGTCAGAAATACTCAAAGAAAAAGGAGTTCAAGGTGGATGGAATTTATTAAGAGGAGAAATATTGAAGGCACAGATGCAGGCAATTCCAACGAGTGAGAAAGTGGGAGGTATCTAAAGAAACCAGTGTGCCTGCAGATAACAGGAGAACTGAGATGTTAGAAGGGTATGTATAAGAAATGAAAGAAAAGGGAAATCATGAAGGAAGAGTATTCACAAGTTGCAAGTGGAAGGTCAGGCGGGCCAAAGCTCAGAATGAACTCGTGTTTGCGAGAGAAGTTAAAGATAAGTTTTGAAAAAGGTTTCTTTGGCTATGTTCAAACAAGAGGAAGAACAAGCAATTAGTAGGTTCCTTGCATGGAGAAGACAGAGAAATGCTATTGGGTAACAGAGAGAAGGCGGAACAGCTCAACACCTGCTTTGCCTTTGCCTAAAAGGAAAGTAGTGCCCAAACTGGCGATAACACAATAAACAAAAGAATGGACCCGAATCAATGGATTTAAGTTACAAGGAAGGAGATTCCAATTAAACATCAGGAAGGAATTTCTGACAGTAAGAGCTGCTGGACAGTGAAACTGACTCCCTTGGAAGGAGGTGGTCTCGCCTTCATTGGAGATTTTTAAGCAGAGGTTGGCTGGTCATTTACCTTCCCGCCAGAGTGGTACCTATTTATCTACTTGCACTTTGACATGCTTTTGAACTGCTAAGTTTGGCGTTTCTGTGCGCTGCTTCTGGTTCGCCAGAAGCGGCTTAGTCATGCTGGCCACATGACCCGGAAGCTGTACGCCGGCTCCCTCGGCCAATAAAGCGAGATGAGCGCCGCAACCCCAGAGTCGGTCACGACTGGACCTAATGGTCAGGGGTCCCTTTACCTTTACCTTGGCTGGTCATCTGCCATCGATGTTTTAGTTTGAAAGGTCTATACAGCAGGGAACTGGACTACATGGCCCCTGGGGTCCCGTCCTACTCTAAAATTCTAAGATTCTATAAAAATTAATCCACACATTTTATAAACAAAAAAGAAATGTGATGCAATGCCCAGCAGACAAATATGTTGTGTGTCATTAGGAAAGGGGACTTAGACATTGATGTATGTGGTCTCATAAGCAAACACAAAACCCACAGTCAGGCAAAAAGTATATAAATAAACAAATAAGACTACCTTAGCAAAAAAACAGATTGCAGCCAGTGTTTTCAAAACATTTGGAATGAGAGTCCTTTCTAAGGGGCTCTTAATCTACCTTCCAGCGAGCAGCAAACTTGCATAGCAGGCAGAGCAGAAACTCCTTTCTAATATGCCAGTTTTTTGGGGGGGGGTACAGTTGCAGGGAGAATTGCAGGGAATATATTGCTTGGGGAATGAAATAGGCACCCCAATCCACAGAGTGAAATGTTACAGCTCACACTACCACCTCAGGATTCTACCGTTTTGTTGCATGTTGTGCATGAAGCCTAACTTGGGTTCTGGGTATGGTTTTATGTGCCTACAATCCTAAATCAAGTAGAGGCTCGGCTGGATCAGCGCATTCCTAAAATATAAGACGAAGAAAGCAGCTGTTGAGGCCTTGCCTGGGCTTGCTGCCTTAGAAGCCGCTGCTGCTGTTGCTGCTGTTGCTGCTGTTGCTGCTGCTGCTGAAGTAGCTTCATCTGGAGCAGTTTGCTGCTGCTGCTGCTGCTGTGAAGCAATTGCGTGAATTGATGGTGGCTGCATCATGGTGCCAGAACGCCTCTGCAGCATGTTAGACAGCACTTGTTTTGTGTTGCTTGGACAAAGGAGTTGGGAGGGTCCAATCTGGAGCCACCTGTGAATGCAATGGGATAGATGATAGACAGATGGATAGATAATAGATAGAGGGTGGATCTACACACAGGAAGAAAACGCTATAAATAAGTCAGAAATTAAATCGTTATAACAGAAAGGGGGAAAACGCTATGTAAAAATCACATTAAAAATTTCTTTGCTCTCTGGGGCCATCTGGTGTTACATGTTTATAATGAATTCAAAACATTTTTTGGACTAATGTAGCTGAGTCCATAGATAGATAGATAGATAGATAGATAGATAGATAGATAGATAGATAGATAGATGATAGATAGATAGATAGATAGATAGATAGATAGATAGATGGATGATAGATAGATGATAGATAGATGATAGATAGATAGATAGATAGATGATAGATAGATAGATAGATATAGATAGATAGATAGATAGATAGATGATAGATAGATAGATAGATAGATGATAGATAGATGATAGATAGATAGATAGATAGATAGATAGATAGATAGATAGATAGATAGATAGATAGATATAGATAGATAGATGATAGATGATAGATAGATAGATAGATAGATAGATAGATGATAGATAGATGATAGATAGATAGATAGATAGATAGATGATAGATAGATGATAGATAGATGATAGATAGATAGATGATAGATAGATGATAGATATAGATAGTAGCTGAGATATAGATAATGTAGCTGAGTCCATAGATAGATAGATAGATAGATGATAGATAGATAGATAGATAGATAGATAGATGGATGATAGATAGATGATAGATAGATGATAGATAGATAGATAGATAGATAGACAGACAGATGATAGATAGATAGATAGACAGATGATAGATAGATAGATAGATAGATAGATAGATAGATAGATGATAGATAGATAGATAGATAGATGATAGATAGATGATAGATAGATAGATGATAGATATATGATAGATAGATAGATGATAGATAGATGATAGATATAGATAGATAGATGATAGATAGATAGATAGATAGATGATAGATAGATAGATAGATGATAGATGATAGATGATAGATGATAGATAGATAGATGATAGAGATAGATGATAGATAGATAGATAGATATAGATAGATAGATAGATGATGATAGATAGATAGATAGATGATAGATGAGATATGATAGATGATAGATGATAGATAGATGATAGATAGATAGATGATAGATAGATAGATAGATAGATGATAGATAGATAGATAGATGATGATAGATAGATGATAGATGATAGATAGATAGATAGATAGATAGATGATAGATAGATAGATATAGATAGATAGATAGATAGATAGATAGATGATAGATAGATAGATAGATAGATAGATAGATAGATAGATAGATATAGATAGATAGATAGAGATAGATAGATGATAGATAGATAGATGATAGATAGATAGATGATAGATATAGATAGTAGCTGAGATATAGATAATGTAGCTGAGTCCATAGATAGATAGATAGATAGATAGATGATAGATAGATAGATAGATAGATGATAGATAGATGATAGATAGATAGATAGATAGATAGATAGATAGATGATAGATGATAGATAGATAGACAGATGATAGATAGATAGATAGATAGAATAGATAGATGATAGATAGATAGATAGATAGATAGATAGATAGATAGATAGATAGATGATAGATAGATGATAGATAGATAGATGATAGATATATGATAGATAGATAGATAGATGATAGATATAGATAGATAGATAGATGATAGATAGATAGATAGATAGATAGATGATAGATAGATAGATAGATAGATAGATGATAGATGATAGATGATAGATAGATGATAGATAGATGATAGATAGATAGATAGATGATAGATAGATAGATTAGATAGATAGATAGATAGATAGATGATAGATAGATCTATCTATCTATCATCTATCTATCTATCTATCTATCTATCATCTATCTATGATGATAGATAGATAGATGATGATAGATAGATAGATGATGATGATAGATAGATAGATAGATAGATAGATGATAGATAGATAGATAGATAGATAGATAGATGATAGGTAGATGATAGACAGACAGACAGACAGACAGATGATAGATGATAGATAGATAGATGGATAGATAGATAGATGATAGATAGATAGATAGATAGATAGATAGATAGATAGATAGATAGATAGATAGATATGAGGTGGGGGGTTGTTTACAATCCTAAGGACTATATAATGCATAATAACATGTTTTTTTCTTGTGTACAAAGTGCCGAATACATATCATTTAAAACCTAGGTTTCACTTTGCTTCCCCTTAGAGTATGTGAAACAAGATTTGTAAACAACAACAACAAAAACTACTGTTTTTTTCTAGACACACTAGAGGGTAAAATGACTTTTAACTACTAATTCTATAGCATCCAAATGCTTAGAGATACATCATCCTACCAAGCCATTTAAACCTTGCTTGCAATGGAAGGTGAGCTTTTTCAAATAGCAAAGTAAAAAACAAAACAAAAAAAACCTGAAGTTGAGCAGCTTTTAACAATAATTAACAACAGTTAACTGTTGTTTTCTGTTTCTTTTCTGCCTTTTGCATAACTATGACTGCCTTCTGAACATAGCAGAATGGGGGGGGGGGGTACTAAAAAATAATATTGCTTCTGTATGATGCAGCAAGCTTCTGGTGCCCGTTACAAAGCAGAGACCTACCTGGTGGAAGAGGCTGGTTCTGGACGAAGAAAGCAGCTTGCTGGGGCTGCCCCATAACATTATAGCCCCACAAAGCAGACTGGGGGTGGTGCATCATTTTGAGATGGAAGTGGTGAATAGTTGGGAGGGACTCTATATACATTGTTCTGAGGGTAATCCTTAAGCGAAACAGGAAAAGTTAAACGTTATTTGCATCCAATACCCTACTTTTTCATAAACAATGCCAATTTTCCTACTGAACTATTAAAGCATTTATGACAAGTCCTTTTGTGGTTTACAATACAAAACCGATTCAGTCATAGACCTGGCAGAGATAAACTAAATATGACATCTTCTTGGCTGTCCGATAGTGCTTCATTTTATACCTTTTCTGCATGCTATACAACATGTCAGGTCATAATGTTATCAAAGGCCTGCTGTGTGGGCAACTTAACGACAAATTCACACTGTGCATTCAAGCTTCAGAGAATGAAACTATGGTGAAGAAATTAAGTTAGCTGTCCTAAGGAATCTCTCGTGCGAAGGATTATTCCACCATATATCTAAGTACATGAAGCGGTTTCAAAAAATTTATCTTCAGGAAATACTTTTCGCTTTCGCTCATCTGCCATACGATTCCTCTGTATCGCCAGGGGCAGGTTCTAAGGTGGACTTAATCAACACAAAAGGTGGGTATAATTAACTTCATCATTAACAGAAACATCCAACATTCCTCTCCCATTGTTTTAGGGAAAGAATCACTGGCTAGCAAATTACCTTTCAGAAAGGAGGTTTACTATTACTAACCTTCAGAATGTGGAGCACCCCATAAGCTTCTAAGGCACCTCTGAAGATAGTTCTCCCCCCCCCCCACAAAAAATCAAGA